CTGGAGGCAGGTTGTTCCACTGGTTAATTGTTCTCACTGTCAGGAAGTTTCTCCTTAGTTCTAGGTTGCTTCTCTCCTTGATTAGTTTCCACCCGTTGCTTCTTGTCCTGCCTCCAGGCGCTTTGGAAAATAGCTTGACTCCCTCTTCTTTATGGCAACCCCTGAGATATTGGAACACTGCTATCATGTCCCCCCTCGTTCTTCTCTTCATTAAACTAGACATACCCAATTCCAGCAGCCGTTCCTTATATGCTTTAGCCTCCAGTCCCCTAATCATCTTTGTTGCTCTTCTTTGCACTCCCCCCCCCACAAAGTCTCAATGTCTTTTTTGTAATGTGACCAAAACTGGATGCAATATTCCAGGAGTGGTCTTACCTTTGGTTTTTCCTGCCTATGTGTAAAACCGTGGAACCGTGTAGAACTGCTCTGTAGAAGATACACTTTCCTGTGTGCTTCATCTTAGCTTGGTGCATCTGGAGGGGAAGAATACTCATGTGCAAATGCTGTTTATGGATTTTAGTTCAGCATTCAGCACAATCATCTCTCAGCATCTGGTGAACAAACTGGGCCTATTAGGTTTTAATACTCCTTTATGTAATTGGATACTTGATTTCCTTATTGATAGGCCCAGGTTGTGCAAGTTGGAAAGAAAGTTTCCAATTCCATCTCTTTTCCAATCCTCAGGTAATTCCCCAGTGTTCCAGGATTTTTGAAAGATATGATACAATGGTGCTGAGATAACTTCTGCCAGTTCCTTCAAAATTCTGGGAAGTAATAAATGTTCTCTTACCATTTTCTTGCTTGTTTAAATTTTTATTTCTAATCTTTTACAGTACAGTACAGTTATGCTTTTGGTAGGCTGGGCTATAAATGCCCCAGGCTGTGATTTTTGTATCCCCCTCACCAAAAATAAGTTATTTGCGTTTGCATGGGCTGATAGTGCAGGCAATCTCCTTGTTCTGTTTTAATGGCAAGCAGTGTAAGAACGTTCTGAACTGGAAGAGATCATTCAAATAGGCTGGCCTTTGATAAAGACAGAAAAGACTTAGAATTTACAACCGAAGTAAACTGGACACAATGACACAATCAGTCTCCCGTTCCCAAATGTACCATGCACCCTCCGCTCATTAAGTTTTCTCCATTTCCCATTTACAGTTTGCATTTTTGCCCTGAACATAGCTTATTCTAAGGCAGGGGTGTCAAACTGCCGGCCCACGGGCCGGATGCATCATCCGGAAGCCACGCCCACCCCATTGCCGGCAATGGCAAAACCGTTTGACATGTCTGTAAGGAATTAAAAATTCTCTAGTCAGAAATTAGGACTCTTAAAACATTTTTTAAATTCTCTGTGACTTGTGATTCCAGTAGCAGAGATACTTCCTGTTATTCCTTTGAAATGGCCACTCCTTACCTCACTTCTTCCCAGCAAGACTCCAGATGCTCGGTCCAATACTATCTGCTAGATGAGAAGGCAGGTGTTCAGCAAATTGGCTTAAGCTGATAGTGTTTTTAAAAGCACCAAAACATGACCAGAGCCTGTCCTTCACATGCACAGAGGTATGAGACATTTCCAGACAAACCAAATATCTTGGGGTTTTTTTCCGCCTAGGTCAATTAATTACATGTTTTAAAATTTGCTTTGAGATTCAAAAGCCACTTTTAGTCCCTGGGTGTTTATAAAAACAGTAGAGACTGCCTTGTAGCTTGCTGTCACTTTTCCAGGGGGCAAGAGATATATCCTGGGACAGCTATGCCTGAAGACACTATAGGTGATTAGAGACAATGCTGGAGTAGAATAGTAAGAATGGAGTCCTCACTCATACTACTAGCAGCTTGGAAGATGCAATTGCATGGAAGTGGCAGAACTACTTGGTTTCCTTATAGACTCCGATGAACCAAGAAATACCCAGCCCAAGAGTACTAGCTTAAGCAAAAGCTCCATTATGTTTACATAGCAATTAAAGTCAACTGCTGCATTTGTAGTGTGAAGCTTGGGTAGAATCAAGGGTTGGAGGAGGCAATTTAAACTACGGTACTGAGTCCATTAAAGGAACCTAAATTTAAAGCACCCAAAAGAGATGGCTCTCTCTCTTCTGCCTAAGCACATCCCAATACAGAGGAGCCCACCACATCTCTAATTGTTTCTGTCAGATTCTGTCAGATTGCTCTGTAGCAAGTTTTCTTAGAAGAAAGATTCCATTAGAATCTCCCTTGCTGTAACAGAAACCCATTTTGTGTCCAGTATCTGGAATGCAATACCCTTTCAGCTACTTTAAATATATTCTCAGTTGTCTTTTGTCAAGGTTAAACTTAGGGCCAGATAGAGTGAAATGATAGCTGTTGGTGCAACCAAGTGAGAACCATTAGGATTTTTGACCAACTTGATCTAGTAGTTAAGGCAAGTTAGAAACCAGAACATCAGGTGTTCTAGTCCTACCTTAGGCATGAAAGCCAGCTGGGTGACTTTGGGCAAATAAAAACAAATAAAATTCCTTGGTAAATAATGGGAAATATGTTCCTATAAAGCACTTTCTCAATCTCGGTAACTATAAAATGGCTGGAGAATTCTGGGAGTTGAGGTCCACATCTTAAAAGTCGCTCAGGTTGAGAAACACTGCTGTCGAGGAATACTGTATTTTTCCTATTTTTTTCCTGCAAACACCCTGTTCAAAAATCAGGTGTGTCTTATACAAGTGCAGCGTCTTATACACGGAAGAATAATGGTAACCTCTGCAGCCCAGGGCATGCCTGTGTGGGTTGCCATGCTGCCTGCTGCAGGTGTCAAGCCCCTGTGGGCTTGCCACTAACGGGAAGGGGGGAGGGGGCAAGATTGTCGGTCGGCCGAACTTCCGGATTTGCTGGCTCTGCTGAACAGCTGATCGGCACAGAGAAACTCGCATGCCAGAGCATCTTATACAAGGGTGCGTCTTATAGACGGCAAAATATGGTAATTCCTATTGCACTATTGCCATCACTAAGTCTTCTTCTGAAACTCTTGATTTGTCTGTAAACATCACTTAGTGGAATATGTGGAGAATATACTGTAGCTACAATTCAGTTGATGGGTTGTTTAAAAACAAGAATGGAATAATATTGATTGCTCAAAAAGATCATCTAAAATTACCATTTTTTCTAAATCTTGTTTTTGAAAAAAACATTCAACTTTGATGCAGCTTTTTAACTTTTCCAAAGAATCTTTATCATAATAATATAGAAGTATTCAGATTTAGCATTGTATTCGTTGTGATTTAAATTGCTTAGTGTTACAATATTTTACAATATTAAGTAAATTCTTGTAAATGTCTCTCCTAGCCAAATTTGCTATATGGTTCTCATTCCCAGCAGTCTTTCACCTAATTAACTCACACCAGGGACCCAAAATTAAACCTCTCCATTAGCATCCTGAATCACTTTCCCTTTCCCTACGGATTGAAGGATGGATACCAACTGAATCCCCAAGACTTTGAATTTCCTTCCAAGATGGTTAAAATATATGGTGATTTTATAGTTAAAATCTGTTTTAGCTCTTTTCATGCAGTATCATGTATTCATATGTGTTAGCAGGATGGGATTATAATCATCAATAGACTTGATAAATCTTGAAAACTGTCATCTCATACCCTTCATACCTGTTCTTGGTTAATAGCACACCTTTATGAGCAAGTGGGTTTTGTCAGCATGCTGTGTTTCCTTTGCACAGGAACTCAATGGGTACTGTGGGCCAATTATTCTCTCTTAAACCAGCCTACCCACCTCATATGGTACAATAGTTATTGTGGGGAGAAATGAGAGGAAGGAGTCCTTGTATAACCACCTTGAGCTCCTATTTGGAAAATAGCATATGCATCTAATGCAGTGATGGTGAACCTATGGCACGCGTGCCAGAGGCGGCACTCGGAGCCCTCTCTGTGGGCACGCGTGCCGTTGCCCCAGCAGAGTTCACCAGAATAGCGAGCACGTGGCGTTTGGAAGCAACAGGGCAGGAAGTGAACAAGCAAGCGGCGTTGGCCTCCTGGGGATGCCCCGGAGATGGCAAGGGACTGTTCACCCAGTCTGCCTTGACCACTGCAGCCATGCCCACCCAGTGGGCCACGCTCTCCTCACCCCCCCTGAGGGCACCACAATGCTGATGCAGCCCTGGCACTTTGCGATAAATAAATGGGTTTTGGGTTGCAGTTTGGGCACTCGGTCTCAAAAAGGTTCGCCATCACTGATCTAATGAATCAATCAGTAATACATTTACTTCTGTTTCTTGCATCAATGAGTCATCAGTTATGATTCTTTTCTTTTTCTGCTTATAAGGCTATATCATTTGCCCTTCAGGGATCCAGTATGCTGCTGTCCATCCAGCAATGCCTGCCTACCTTTCTTTCTTTGCAACAGTCTCTTGGGGGTATGAAAGGGTTACCCTTCCCCTTTCATTGATTTGCAGTAGGAGAGGCATGTCAAGCTCGCGACGTCATGTGACGTCGCGCGACGTATTGGAGTTTTTCTCCATTGCCGGCAATGGGGTGGGCGCAGTTTTGGGATGACATGTCCGGCCCGCGGGCCGGCAGTTTGACACCCCTGCAGTAGGACATATATCCAGTTTATTTTTAAATAGCTCCCCAAAATACAAGCAATCAGCACAGGTTGTATTCAATATTTTAATTTTTCTTTAAAAAAATCCCAAAGGCATCAGCTTGGTTTACAGATGAGAAGAACGCTCACATGACAGCCAAGATTGCTTCTCAGCCTTGAAAACAAATTGTAGTGGTACTCTGCATAGCCACTGACAAACAAATAGCCCACCCCCTCCTTTTGCCTAATGGATGGGATCCAAATGAGAGGAGCAGCAGTTTGAGAGAACTTGGACCGAACAAAAGTAGAACTAGTTCAGAGGTCTTCAAACTTGGCAACTTTAAGACTTGTGGACTTCAACTCCCAGAATTCCTCAGCCAGCCTTGGCTGGCTGAGGAATTCTGGGAGTTGAAGTCCACAAGTCTTAAAGTTGCCAAGTTTGAAGACCCCTGAACTAGAGAATAAGAAATTGTATCAGACAAAGTATCTCCCTAGTACAAATTCCAGAAACAGGACTGCGGAAGACAAGAACTAAAGAGAGAGAAAGAAGTAAGCTACCTTTCCTGAGCTCCTGCTTTTTGCTCTGTCACTCCTGATGTCCCTGGCAGAAAGCCTGCCTCACCAAGAGTATTATTTGGTCTTTGGTAGCACAAAGTGAGCATAAACCCAGTCAAATAGTATCAACTTGCAGATGAGGTGAGACAGCTGAGTGAGGGACCAAAATTTAATCCCTCTTCATGTCCAGTCTGGGCTGCAATAGACAAGGATCAGTACCGACCAAGCACAGTGGCCAAGAGTGCCATGCGGATATACATGCCGTTCTCTGCTTGCCGGAAGTAGGCTGCACGGGGATCCGAGTCCACCTCCACACTAGAAAGAGTTGCCAAGATAAGGATTATCATTTACCACCACCAAATCTGCAGAAGCTTTCCCTCTCCTCCCATGCACAATCTCCTAAAAGAGACCACTGCTTTATTCAGTAAGAATGGTAGTTTGATCAAACAGAACACTTGTTTTTGATAGGATTTTCTGAGCTAAGAGTTTTGATGTCCATAACAGAAGTCCCCAAGCTTTCTCGGTTGGCGGACTGGAGGGAAAGGCAAGGGGAAGCATTTTACGCGTACGCGTGATGCAAACGGGGTGGCGCTACTGCCCATGTGACACTTGCTAGCCCTGCCCTGTTTTCACCACATGAGCATTAGTGATGCCGTTTTCGCTGCCTGAGCCCTGTTTAATCCACGTGGAACCCCGTTTAGGCCACATGGAGCCCCATTTAGGCTGCACGGAGCCCTGTTTAGGCTGCATGGAGCCCCATTTAGGCCACGCAGTGTCCCCTTAGGACGTGCGGCTGTGGCGCTAGCATGAGGGAGGATGAGTGGGTGCACTGGCCATCCTGTTCGGTGGCCCAGTGGCTTGGTGGCCACGGCCCGGTAGTGGGCTGTGGCCCACAGGTTGGGGACTCCTGGTCCATAACAATCTTAACAACCCAGGAGTTTTAACTTGACCAGAAGTAACATTTTGTTCTACTTTTCAGATGGAGATGAATGTGAACTGCTGCTTACCATTCCCCCAGTTTCAAAGATTGAGCCTTTTGTGCATGGAGGCTGGGTGGAAAACTCTTGGAAGAAAATCTTACCCAAGGGTAGCATCTTTTTTATTCTAGGAGAACATAAATGAACTGAGCTAGGGTTAGCTCCTTTGCACCTGATTTCATTGACACGGGGCATTGGATGCATCACCACCATCTTCTTCTTGGCCCGGGTCATGATATGCGGCGTCAAGATAAACTGCCCAAAACACTAGAGAGAAAAGACTTGAATGAGTTCTTAGTTGTTAGCAGCTCTATCCCATGCTGAGAGAAACTCCCCATTTCTGCAAATGCCAATTTTCAGGCAGTTTCAAAATACTCAGCCCTTGTGTTGTTCCAAGTTGTCAGGATCCAGAAAAATGAGTTTAGCTAGAGATTCCACATTTTGAGCCCTCGGAAAACATGGATTCAACCACTGAAGTGAAGAGACCAAGGCCAGGATTTGCCAAACTGACATACAAACTAGGTGATTTTGTATGTTTCTCAAATAAATTAAAAAATAAATGATGTCTGAAACAACACAATAAACTGAAACAAATTAGCCCAGTATGTCATGTGAATCCAACATGTGTGACCTTAGATAGAAAGCAGGGTATCTGTCTCAATAAAAGGGCAAGAACAGAATCTTCTTTCTTTCTAGAAAGAGAATATATACTAGAATGTATTTTGATGGTGAGGGGAAACAAAGCATCTTGTGCTGCTGGCTGGGACAAGGGACTCATACACATATTGAGTTATTTTTCTGAGGTTCAGAAAATAATTCTGGGAGCAACTTAATTATAGCTTGTTCAAGAAATGAAGGCTGAAATAAACCAGGACTTAGGGCAATGTGTGAGTCAGTACATTTGTGTAAGTCCTGGAGGACAGTTCATCTGCTGCTTTCACCTACCATCTCATATTCCTGGACCGAAGCAAAGCGCTCCTTCTGGATGCGAGTCATGTAAAGAACATCTGTGTCTGGTAGAGCCTCTTCAATGTTCTCAAACTCTTCCTGGGAAAGAAGAGTATAAGGAGGAATGAGTCAACATCAAGATGCAAGCAAGAACCCATGATGGTAAACTTCCCTCCCACCCATCTTCACCTGTTTGATTCCCTTGGAGGCTACGAAGTCAAAGATATCAGAGGGCATGCGCAGGTTGGGTGGAGTGACATAACGCAAGCTGACACGGTACAAGGTCAGAAGGCGGGCGAGAGAGTGGACTGTGCGCCCATGCTTCAGGTCTCCCACCATGGTGATCTGGAAAAGAGGGAAGAAGATCATGAGGTTTTCTGATCTGTGGAAAGTAGGCATGCAGACAAAAGTATTAGCATAAGCCCACAACTTCCCTTACCGTCATGCCATTGACAGTGCCCAACTCTTCACGGATGGTGAAGATGTCCAGCAGACCTTGAGTGGGGTGTTCTCCAACTCCATCACCTGCATTGATCACAGGTTTGCGGCAATGTTTGGCAGCCAGCTGGTATAAAATGAGAGGGGAAGAAGCCATTAAAGTTAGCATTTGACTCATGTCTTTATTCAGTCAGTTCATAAGCCCTTTGTGGCTTCCATATAAATTGTTCTTAATCAGAAATCAGCAAATCTGATGACTTATTGGAAACTAGAAGGTGAGATCAAGAAGTCCAGAGGAGTAAAAAAAAAAAAAAAAAAAAGAACAGCTTCTACAGAAGGTGTTTTTGCAGGCATCTTGAGAACCAGATGCTTGAATTTACAATCAATAAAATTGGCCATGGATTTCTGAGACCTATTTTTAAAAGTTAAGAAAATGAATGGCCTCTATCATGTAGGCCAGACATGTCAAACACAAGGCCCGGGGGCCGGATACGGCCCGCGAAGTGCTTTCATGTGGCCCGCGAAGCCATCTTGGAAACAGTGAGGGAACGGCCCCCGCTGCCTTGGCCCTGGCCCAGGCCAGCCGGGAGCCAATGTACAATTTTGTAGTGGCCATCTTGGCACTTGCCCCGGTGGGCCATGCCTTGATACTTGCCCCGGTCCCACCCCTTCTGCCAGAGACCCTCAGATCTATCCTACTCCTGCCCAGGCCCCCACAGGCACCCTTGACGCGAATGATGTAGAACTGGCCACGCCCACCCAGTAGGCCACACCGACTCCATCCACACCCACCCAGTAGGCTGCATCCACTCTGGCCACACCCACCCGGCCCCCCAAGGACAATCGCAATGCTGATGCGGCCCTCAGTGAAATTGAGTTTGACACCTCTGATGTAGGCAAAAAAAACCAACCAAACAAAAAAAAACAACAGGTGAGAAAAGGAAGACAGGATTGCTAGTTTCTCTGAACTTGTACCATACCATGAACATAACCCACTATCACGCCTTCATCATGCAACCTCTTCTTTAATCCATTACCCATCTTTACCTCCACTGCACCTGGCTGGGGGTGCCTTAGAACAACGACGTCAGCGTAGCAGCTCATGGTCTGAACCGAGTCTGCCAGAGATTCTCCCTTTTGGCAGGATGAGGTGGCCTCAGAAAAGGGGAGCACAGAGCCACCCAGACGGTACATGGCTGCAGAAAAGGAGCTGCTGGTCCGTGTGCTTGCCTCGTAAAACATGGAGGCCATCACCTTCCCCTGTGCAAACGTAGCTCTGGTTTAATATTGCTGTTTTTCCCTGACCTCCCCAAATCTCATTCCCATCGCCCCAATTCAACGTTTTCCTCACCTTGAGGATGTCAAGACTGCGCTCTTTTTGCACCATCATGCGCAGATTGTGTGCGACGTTAAACAAGTGAGACATCTGTACAAAAAAGAAGAGCATGTTGTGGGGGAAGGAGCTTAGGAATTTTGAGTACAGGAATTCCATGAGCACAGACACCAGAATGTAGGGGGGGAAAAAGCTAGTATGCAAATACCTGGCCCTTTGTGAACTGTTTGACTGACAGTATATGTTGCCCCACAAGAGGATGGAGTAATGGTGAGGTTTGAGGATGTGGCAAACTCTGAGGAGATGCCTGTCTGGGTAATGGGCCAGCAAGGTATAATGGGCCATCCTGGACCATGGACAGGTCTAAAGGGGTAAAGAAAAAAAGATCAGCTCTTCTTCTTTTTTTTTTACAAATTTTATTAAATGTACATTTTAAAAACAAAAATGGACATGCTTCAACTTCCCTGGCTTCAACAGTGCTATTAGTATTACCTTATGTTACAGAAAGAAAAACAGAAACTTAAAATATATTCTTTAACAGGACAAAGTATAACAAACTGTGCGTATAACATCTGTAAAATTTTTGATAAACCATCTTTCAATCGTCAACATTATATTTACATATCTTTCAGTTGTGCCCTAATGTAGGTACTAATAAGAAGTCCTTATGATATCAACTAGTCAATCGATAATCGTCTCAGCGATCCTCCTTATCTCTAACCAATCGTACAAATTTTTCCAAATTTCATAATACTCTGTTTCAGTTTTATTTTTCATCTCTAGTGTTAACCTGTCCATTTCGGCGCAGGATAAAATTTTATTTATTATTTCTTCCTCAGTGGGGGTTTCCTTTCCTTTCCATTTTTGAGCATATGCCAATCTTGCTGCGGTTAAAATATGCAATAATAAGTAAAAAGATGCTTTGCTGAGTTTATCATTAATAATCCCTAATAAGAAGATTTCTGGTTTTAAATCAATTTTTTGTAATAGTATTTCTTCCAGCCAATTTTTTATCCGATTCCAAAAATTTTGCGCCTTTGAACATTCCCACCACATGTGATAATAAGTCCCTGGAAGCCTTCTACATTTCCAGCATGTTGGTGAGGTTTTTTTTATCTATTTTTGCTAGCCTTGTAGGGGGAAGGTGCCATCTATAAAACATCTTGTATAAATTTTCTTTGTAGGAGGTGGCTAGTGTTAACCTCCTGTTTCTGTCCCATAATGATTGCCAATTATCTAGGTCAATACTATAATCAAATTTTTTACTCCAGATTAACATTGTTTCTTTTACGTATTCTTCTAACAAATCTTGTTCTAATAAATATTGATATATTTTTTTATCATTTGAAAAGATCAGCTCTTCAAGTAGAATATGCAAGAGAAGATGTGAGGGATCTGTCTCTGTCTCTCTTTTGCCTTTTTCTTATCCTGCTCTCCTTTTGGGTCTGTTCCTCCAATTCTTTCCTTCCATAACCTTGAAAGCCTTCATCCTAAGATATTATCATTCATTAGCGTAACCAGGATAGAAGCAACTGTTTGCCCAAACACTACATGGACAATACAGGTCCCCAGCCAAAAAAAGAGAGAGGAAAAGTTTGGAGGAAATTTTTCGGCAACAGGACAAACACAAGCAGAACAACTCTTTAGAACCTGAACTTTTAAAAGGGCAGAACCAAATGGTGTTTTGCCTACATTCAGATTATGTTCAATTAACTGATGCAACAAGCAAAGTATAAGAAATAGACAATCCTGAAATAGTATTTAAAAATTAAAGTATCAATTTTGAGATTTGATCATGGTGGCAAAACTATCTTTGTCAAATGAGATAGTAGACAATGGGATACATTCAATGGATTTGCTTCATAAGAAGAGGAATAAGGTTGTTTTAACCAGGCCAGGATTAAAAGCATTGTTCTAAATTTATAGACGTTTTTAGTAAATTGATGGTTTTGAACTGCTTTGTCTCTCATTAGTTGCTATGCAATGTTGCAGGGATAAAACATACTTTACTATGTTATAATCAACATTAAATAAATATTAATGCCATTGACCCTTAACACCTTGGCCCTCCCGCCTCACAGAGTCCCATCTGACACAAAATCCAAAGCAGAATCCCTTTCTGGTCTTGTTGTCTACAGCAATCAATTTTCCCCCTCCACATTTCTCCTTCAACAAACTTGCCCATGGAGAAATGCTGTAAAATGCTGTAAGAGACTGGAAATCTACATGGCCATATCTGAATTTAAACGAGAAGCTCTTTCTACAAGGCTACTTAGAACAAAAAAACTGATTTGAAAAAAAAATCACAGAAGGAATAGCAGCAGTCTGAATCTGGGGGGGAAGAACTCACCTGGCTCAGGTGCTTTTTTGATAGCTCTTTCTCTGAGTTCATCAGCTAGTCAAAGGAAAGGGACAAGAATTACAGTCTAATAGAGACACCTTGCCATGGCTCCAACCCTCCTTCCCTAAACATCTGCCCCAGAAAGGAATCCATTCCAGGTACCCTCTCATCCATCACCTGGCAGCCCAGGATCTGAAGCACGATGGATGCGGGGGGCCAAGTAGAATCGTGCATCTCCCACTGGAGCAGCTCGCCGAGGACTAGATGCACGGCCACGAAAGATCTCTGTTTGCACAGTGGCATGAGGACGCTCAGGTGTCTGCAAGATGAGAGGAACTAAGCAATGGAAATTTAGGGAATACTTTCACTTTTCACTAACAACATCTCCCAAATTTCCCACCTTTATCCATCTACTCCCAAGCATTCTCCTCCTTTGTTCCTTCTTAGCTGAGTTCCAGCACCTACCTTCAGGATCTCTTTGGCTGGTGCTGGGAGAGGTACTGAGCATGGCCACTTTCGCACATCCTGCCCGTAACCTGGGGATACGAGAACCTAGACAACACAAAATGCTCACATCAGTCCTAACCCCCCTGGCATCAAAACTTCATAAAGGGGAGGTAGCCAAAAGGGCCACAGAGGATTCCTTTAATCATGTAAAGGACTTTTTTTCCCTACACTCCTTCCTCAGCTGCTCTGTATTTACCTGTCCATCAATATAAGCCACTTCTCCACGGAGAATAACACGGCGTACAGTCCCCTTCACTCGCATCCCTTCAAAAGGTGTCCACTGGGATTTGCTGAAGGCTGTATGGGTTGGCACCAGCCACTCCTGCTCCAGATCCACCTGCCAGAAGACATAACAACTTAGAACAGCTGCTGGTACTGACAGTGGGACGTCCACGCCATTGAGTGGGCAGTTCTGGCTTTATGGCCGAAGAAAGCTTTCTAGCAATAGTTTTTCTGACAAAACAGAGTTAAGGCAAAGATGCCAGTTTTGACAGGGCTCTAAGTTTCTCCCCTCAAAGGCCCTTCTCCTGCAACAGCAGCCCCACCTCAATGTATGTGTCTTCCTGCACAGGCAGTCCAAATATGCGCCGAGGATTATCATACAGGCGCTTGACAATATCTTCCACAGTGAGGCGCCCTTCAGAAACTGCTGTAAGCAACAGAGGCAGCATAGTCTCCAGACCTGGGAAGCCTGGGGGAGGGTCCTTCCCAAGCTTCTCCTCCAATGTGTGTGGAGCTGGAAGGAGAAAAGTAAAAATATGGCAAAGGAAAAGCTTTCATACATTTATTTATTTTATTTTATTTTATTTTATTTTATTTTATTTTATTTTATTTTATTTTATTTTATTTTATTTTATTTTATTTTATTATTTTATTTTATTTTATTTTATTTTATTTTATTTTATTATTTTATTTTATTATTTTATTTTATTTTATTTTATTATTTTATTTTATTTTATTTTATTTTATTTTATTATTATTTTATTTTATTTTATTTTATTTTATTTATTTTATTTTATTTATTTATTATTTAAATTTATATACCGCCCTATCTCCCTTACGGGACTCAGGGCGGTGAACAGGCGATAATAAAAATCACAATAAATATTAAATAAAAAGCCTGCTCTAAAATACCCCATATAAAAGCCCCTACCAAAACACAATCAAAACTACGCCAGGCCGGCCGCATGGAATAGATCTCTGCCAACTGGTACTGGGTATAAAAGGCAGACTTGCCTTCCCTGCTTCTAGTCCCACACATTCTTCTGAACTCTCAGAAATAAAGAGGATGGGGCTATCAGTTGCTGAAACCATTTGGGGACATGTCCCGAGGCTGAAGGTTTCCAGCAATCTAAACTAAAGCCACACTTGCCATGGTCCGTAGCAAAGCAGTCAATGGTGTCCAGGTTGTCCCAAAGGGATTCCATGTCTTCGCGGGTGCCCAACATGGGGCGCACCTGACCCCGGCCTTCCCCAATACGCCTCAGATCTTCCTGGCAGAGAAAGAGGTGATGGGGAGCCACCTCACAGGTCACCTCAATGCCCTTCTGCTTTGCTGCTTTGATGACCAGGATCTGTGAAGAGATGAAATGTGGGAACCTGCCCTTCCCAGCATATATCCACACAATGTTACCCCCGGAATTTTCATCCAGGTTCATATCAAGTATTTTAATAAAGATACAAGAAATCTTGCAAGTCATTTGCTCTCTAGTTATACCAGAGATTATGCACTGTTTGGTTGGGAGAAGAAAAATCTTCTCCTTGTTTTCTGTTCATAGACCTTCCCTGAACATACAACCTTATTCTTTAAGTTTATTTGCAAAAATTACCTACCTCTTCCTTGCGGGCCACATGGCAGATGTGGACAGGACGCTGGTATAGCTGTGCCACCATCAAAATGGCTGCCACCGTCTGTTTCTCAGCATGTGCTACAATTGGAAGGTGCTTGGGCCACTTTTCGAAGTGCTGGAATGGTTTGGAAAGATCAGAAGAAGATTAAATACAGAGGATAGATATGCACTGATAACATAGGCCTGAGATTGTTTGAATGCCTTCGAATAGCCTACCCATTAAATTATTGAAATATTGGCAGATGGGGTACTAGAAATTCTATTTCAGGGCTCCAGTAAGAGAAAAGCATAAAACCTTCCTCATCAAAGCAACTTTCCCTTACTTGCTAAAGAAACAAAGCCCCAGAGATCGAACGAAATTAAACCCACCTCCATCCAGAGAGAAACATTGTCCATCTTGAGGTCAGAGAAAGTGTCATTCAGGTACATCTTTAGACCAGCGGCAGCTCCAGCCACTGGCCCCAGAGAGCCAGCATTCTCAGATGAGGCGCCAACATACAGTGCAAAATCACAGCGGGCTCCAGCCTCAGCCAACTAGAGGTAGGCAAGGGTGCAAAAAGAAAAAGACAGTCTCAAAAGGTGTGACAAGTTCTTTCCTTTTTAATATTTGGATTAGCCACTCTTATCATATACCAAGCTGAGAACTGCCAGACTCAGAAGATCATTCAATAAACAGATACATAACAAAACGCTTGCTGAAATGCTTGCTGAGACATGCATTAAAATATTTCCATGCTGAAATTTTGCTAGTTTTAATACGACTACAGGTTAAATCTCCTATATCATGGTAAAGACAACTTTTTTCTTCTAGATGTTGTGGGCAACATGATTTTAATAATTAATTCCAGGTAGCAAGGAAATTATTTTCTTGACTGGTATTGTCTTTACATTTGATTACAAACTGAACTGGTAACATTCCACTAATTTAATAAAAAGAACATCAGAAGTAGCACAATGTGCACACTGAAGAATATTTCCTAATACAAAAGGCAAGTAATAGAGGGCCAGATATTTTTCTTCGGAAGTCTTTTGCTAGTTTGGACACCACTATCAAAAAAGTCTGATCCTTCCTTTGCCCCCATTTGTCATGATCCGGGCAGTCCTTACCTTCTGCATTAGGGCAAAAGAACTGGCATCAGTGACAGCAGGTGAGGTGTTTGGCATGGCACAAACCATTGTGATGCCACCAGCTAGAGCAGCAGCTGTACCAGATTTGAAGTCTTCTTTATGGGTGGCTCCTGGTTCTCTCAAGTGCACATGGATATCTATTAGACCTGAAGGAAGAGAAAGAGGAGAAATCAGTACAGGAAAAGGACTATATTTGTTTTTGATTACACAGTGATATTATGCTCAAAGCTGCAAACTCCATGTGGCATCAGGAAGGGCATCCGGCCAGTAAATGCTCAGCTCCATCCAATCGCCCCAACTCTACTCCGAATTAAGAGATTACAGGATTGTAAAAAGGGAGTGATATTATGCTCACAGGAAACCATGCGGATGAAAGACAGGTCTATTTTAGACCCCATTTAACAGAAGATGGCAAGCCTGAGGATAAACTCCTTTACACAATGCATGTGCTTTATAGCACAGTAGCTGTACTCACAGACGACGACAACAACAACAACAACAACAACAACAACAATAATAATAAAACCATGTTATAGCTTAACATGAAATACACTGGGTTCCAGTAGTCCACTGAATTAAAAAAAACAGTCAATCTCATTTTAGCCAAATCTAGTATATTGTACAAACTCAGGCTTTTACTGCAGAACACTGCAAATGTGAACCCAGAGGTGTCATTTCCGTTAAGGCTCATGCCTGAAAATGCATGTACAGGGCTGCTCCTACACACATAGTGTGAATGCTGAAGTTTATGTGAAATGTGAAGTTTCTGTATATCTCATGTCCATAGTATAGGTGTACCCAGCCTGAAGCCAAAATTGATTACGGCACCCTTGGGACCGAAAAATGAACACTCTGCAGTTCTCAAGTATTGAGAGAGCCAGTTTGGTCTAGTGGCTAAGACAACAGGCTACAAAGCGGGAGACCGTGAGTACAAGTCCCGCCTTTGCCATGAAAGCCAGCTGGGTGACTTTGGGCCAGTCCCTCTTTCTCAGCCCAATACACCTCACAGGACTGTTGTAGGGAAAATAAGGAAGAGAAAGATATGTGGGATATGTTCCCCACCTTATTTGTAACAAATAATAAAGGTGGGCTACAAATAAATAAATAAAAATAAAGTTAAACAAATTAAATTCTCACACTATCAACAACTAGGAAAGCCATTTTCTGTTCAACTCTTCTGAGGTCATTCTTACCTTTTAAAAGGGGAAAATGTGGTTGTTTTCAGTCAATCTCTGGAACAGGAATTTCCCATGTAATAAATGAACTCAGCCCACAGTCAATGGATAAATTGTGATAAACTGCATACTGCAGTCAATGGGTAAATCAGTATGTCCAGTGTTTAGAAACTAGTCCCATCTTAGGCATGAAAGCTGGCTTAATTTG